GAAGGTATGCATGTGAGTTGAATGTAACTGTATATTAAAAAAAAAAAGAGAGAGGGACTTAATGCTCAGATGCGTTGACCCATCGGTGACCTAATCAAAATCCCATTTTAATGGTTTGTTCAAACACTTTTGTGCAAGTGATTCTTTTGATTAGACGCTAAGCAAATGGAGTTGGCTGACATCTCCCAAGACCTCAAACCCCTTTTGTTTAGCCGCGCTACACTGTTGCCAGTTGTCACCCTCCCCTCCGGTAGGACGACAGCGCTATTCTGCAAAGCCTTTATTCTTCATGCTCGTTCGATTCCCGACCCCTCCTCCCTCCTCCCTTTTGTTAAGAGAACCTCTCGTCCAACAGCCCCCCCGCTCCCCATCTCTCTCTCTCTCTCTCTCTCTCTCTCTCTCTCTCTCTCTCTCTCTCTCTCACTTTGCTCTCATTCATTCCGCCGGCTCAGTGCTCCCGCGCTTCAGGAGGAGCGTGTATGGGGAAACCAGCAATACGCTACTATTGTTTTTCTTTGGAAAAAAAAATTACTACGCGGACCAAAGTGCTTCTTTTTTTTGCTTTTAAACAGCACTCCTCCTCCCCTTATTATTTCACCACCCGCCCCGCCGTCTCTCAGTCGCGCTCTCGACTGCCACATCTGTGCACGGACTTTGCTCACTGGCTCACTCACGGCTGCCTCGGTCGACCGAGGGTGTTGGCACCGGGACCATAACCTGCTGCCGGGGGATTAAGCGTTCTTTGAATACCCGGAGTCTGCTTTGTCGCTTTGGCTGCTGATTGTGAAGGTCCACCTCAGAGACATAACACAGAAATCCACGTGTCCAAGACACCAAGGCATGGACGGAGACAATCCAAAGGAATTGATGCTCAGGGAAGCGTAAAAAAAAAAACAACAGCTGACAAACTGTTGAAAGCGGGCAAAGAGTGAAGAAGTTATTTCCTGCTCGGAATATGATGATAAATCAGATCAGGGTGCAATGAGAGCCTTTTCCTCTCATTTTTGCAGTTGAGATTTTTTTAGTACTGCTCGTAATATGCTCTCGGAGAGCACCACAAATCTCCACTTCTGGCTACATTTCATATTTTAACCGTCTTTGAGTTGTTTTCCGATAGAGTGTTAATCTTGTGTTTTATGCTCATGGAACCACTCTGACAGGTTGCGTGCATCGTAATCCTCAACTTTTCTTGCTTTTTTTTTTTTGGGACACTTCTGAAGACGTCGAGTGGCGCGGGAGAGGAAGAATAACAAGCCCAAGAGCAGTGCTGGTGTCAAGTTCTCATATGCCACGCTTGTCTATCTCTTCACCGTGACCAGCTTGTCCGCGGGATACAAAGAAACAGCTGCGTCGCGTTAGAGGAGCAAATTGTTGTTTTTGACCGCGGCGAGTTCTGTGGAAAGGTGGGAATAACATACCTGGCGCTTTGGGAAATACTTGACACGTTGCTACTGAGCACCAGACCTTGGCATGGTTACGAAGGGCTTTTGACAATGGAGGCAGAGAGCTTATAGAAGGGAATCCCCCGATCAACCACCGAATCGGCAGTCAGGGTCACTATAAGAGCAGAAGAGGATTCCTGTTGGAGTTTTCCGTGCGGATATATTTCAATTTAACCATAACTCGGAGGCATAGCAGTGCAACACTTTCGTACGCAGATTTACAACCACATCACCACCACCCACGTGTATCATACCGTTATATTCACTTTAAGTATTAACACATTACCGCCACTCATAAATATTCCCGCACCGAAAGACCATTTGGATTTTCCCAAGAGGCCACGACAGGATGTAGATAGTAAGAGGTAGCATGGACAGGTGGTGGGCTGACTCCAACAAGTCCTCCTCTGTCCAGCTTTCTTCCCTCACGTGGTGGATGTTATGATGTTTAAAAATGTATCGCCCGGCTACGGCTGAAAGTTTCTCAGTTGGAAAGAGTCGCCGTCTTGCCATCGCAGTTCACAGCTGGAAACACACCTGAATAACGGACCATTACAGTTGCATTTTGGTTTTTTTTGGTATTTCTTCACTGGCCGTCGTTTAACCAACCGCCATCATACTCTCCAACGGGTCTTTGGGCGCCTCTCGACGCCCTCCTCGCCCCGTTGTTTCCTCGGCCGCCCTGGAGGGGAGGGGGTCAATGGAGTGGACCATGGCCGGGTGTCATTATCCTTCGCCAACACCGCCAGAGCGGGACCGGAGATACCAACACAAAGTGTCTCTGGTGGTGCGCTACTTCATGATCCCCTGCAACATCTGCCTGATCCTCCTGGCCACGTCTACGCTAGGATTCGCCGTTCTCCTCTTCCTCAACAACTGTAGGTTTATACCTTTTGAATACCACATTCACTTGATCGCTGCGTTTTTGCCAAAGAAAGCAGCCAAAAACGTTGTTTGGATTGCAGTCTGGCTACATTCGGTTCGGTGTGGTGCACAACTGTTTGCATTTCTTCTGACCGCCCTTGAAAAAGACACATTTGTGTATTATGCACTTGGAACTGCGTTACTTTCTGGCAGTCTTTTGTTGAGGTACTTAATGCAGTAGTACGCCACCTATAGGACGGAATTTGCTGGATCTTGATACACACTTCATTGGGCGCCACAGAATGGCCACTGGAATGGGAGCAGAAAAGTTGTTTTGGTTTTGGGAATGTGAATAGTAATAAGGTTGTAGAAATCGGGCATATCCACTTTGCGATCTTCACGAAGTATCCATTATTTTCTGTTTTTTGTACAATTTCCTCTGTACCAGTTGGCTGTGTCACTCTAACTTGGTTTCACTTTCTAATCCTTGGTGTCCTTTGCTTCTCATGTTGTGTTTTGCGGGTGCAACTGGGATAAGGTGGATCATTTCAAGGCAGACTGTCACACAATGTTTGCCCAACCGCACTTCTAAGATGAGCAAACCGGTGTGTGTGTGTGTGTGGGGGGGGGGGGTGAAAATATGCCCTGGAGAGATGGATGAAGTCAGCATGTGATCCAAGAATGACCATGGTTATACTCTCATTTATGTTGCCACACACACACACACACACACACACACACACACACACACACACACACACACACACACACACAGACACACACGCGCATACACACAAGCACACACACACAGACACACACACACACACACACACACACACACACACACACACACACACACGCTATCAAGGTGTTTGACTACCCGTGTGAGGGCAAAATGATACACACAGAAACACACAAAAATCATCCATCTAACGTCTTCCTTCACTTGGCTAAAATGTCACAGTCAGACACGTATTGATTCCCTAAAGATATTGGCTGAATGATGTTCATGCGGTGACATTCACACAGGCAGCCACTGTGTCAAGAAAGTGAGATGGGGGAAGACGAATACATTTTTGAAAAGACATCGTCATGTCCATGAAAATAGGAAGAATTGTTTTTCCTCCCCGTCCCTTGCTTCTTACTGTATGCTGCCTATCTGGGTTGGTGTGTTGGTGTGTGTCCGTGTCTGTGTGTGTGCGTGTATTTTCTGTCATCATGTGATTTTGGGATACAATTGACAAACAAGTAAAACCCTTGAAGAAATGAATGATGGATTGAAAATGGAGTGCGTGCGCTCAGGGTACGGGTGTGCGGAGCCCAACTTGGCATTTAACTAATAAAGAGGTGTGTCCCAAGAGTTTTGAGCAGACGCTTTGCGTATGTGCCCCATACGGTATTTATCTCCCAGCGCTGTCTGCTTCTCTCTAGAAAGCTTCTTTCTCCCCGATGGAAAAGGCTCCCGTCATGAGTGACTGGGGCACAGCTTCGGCAGACACTTCATTATTCACTTGAAGCCCCGGCCTCGTCTTTGCACTCTCCTCTTGTTTTTTCCCCCTGCGCTCTCTTTCTTCCCCCTGAAGCTCCCAGCTGTTGACAAGCAATTCTCTGTCAGTCTCGATTTAAATGTCAGGCGCGTCTAAAGATTCTTGGAAAGTCCGAGGAATGAATCGTGGATCCCCCGCATAAATGTGTTACGTTTGTGGTTTAATTGCTGTGTTTTATCAATATTCCTCAAGTTATGCGGAGTAGCGACGATGTGAAATGCGCTGCAATGTCAGCCCGGACCACCAGGGGGCTCTGTTGAGTGAGATAGATATTCTCCGTGCTGATGGAGGTTTGATTGAGTTCTGCACTCCAGCTAGCTGCTGCTCTGGGATCCATGCATCATTGAGGAGCACGCCATGTTGGCATTGTGTTTTTTTTTTTAGTTATGTGACGTTTCGATCCATTATGCCTCCAAGGTTGAACATCATTCATTGCGGTGTCTTGTGTGAGACCGCAGATTCATTCATATTTCCAAAAAAAAATTCCCCCCATTGAAAATAATGTAAATAGTATCCAAGGTTTTCAGAGTCAAAAGGCCCGCAACATAAAACCTTTATTTATTGTAAGTTGTTGAAAATCATTTTCAACATTCAAGTTATGCTGACCTCTTTTGTGATATCTGATATTGTGGAGCTTTGAAGACATTAATTCCAAATCGTCTTTTTGAAGTCTCTGACTCAAAAGTATTTCAGATGGGTTACCTACAGTACTTGCAGACATTCTTTTTAAGGCACAGCATGTGGGTGACAATTTTATGTGGATCACAATCTAATTTTGTCTGTTAAAAAAAAGGACTTTGCACCATGGGCCACTTCTGTTTAAATTTAGCATTTGGGTGCTTCTATAATGGACAGGTGAAGTTCGTGATTCACTTGGAGCTACAATGTCATGATAATGTGTTCCCTATATTATCTGGTATGACAACATAGTACAAATACAATGTCTCAATATGTTGTTATTTTTAACCCCCAAAACAACAAAAGAATTGACATAACGTACAGGTATCAATAATAATGTGGAAAACCTCATTCTGAAAATACGGTACATTTTTGACAAAAAGCTATCAACTGTAATGTGTCTTCATTACACGATATTTGCTGCAGGGTTTCAAAACCTTATTTATTTTTTTGCTCTTTTCTCTTTCAGACAAGCCTCCTCACTTTACACCTGCTCAGCCTCCTGATGGTAAGTCTTCTTTCTCATTGTTGAACACTGTTGTTTTGGGGATATCGGATACTGCGGATAACTCGGGACTATATCCAGGAAGTTGGCTGCAGTCATTATATTGTACAGGACCATGAGTCGATCTCATTGTACACACTTCCAAACCTCCTCGGTCTTCAGTGCTCCTTGTCCTTTCCTTCATTGCATAGAAAAGTTCACTGTTAATGTAAATGTGGAAACAAATGGAAACGATCCTTGGACATTTTTCTTGATGTCACTAAATGCATCTCAAATCAAAGTCAACTGATGGGCTCTGCTTTGCAGTACGTTCATTACTTGTCAACACGGCCTTGTTTCGCTTTTCATACGGTCTCTTAGTATAAATACCCTACCTGACCACTTTTAGGGCCAGACTATCCATGGATCTCACCCCATGTTATTATAGTATTCTCATAGTTGTTTTCTGCATTTTTTACGTTTCACATAAGCCAACACATCTCTGTTTCAAGCATGAATATTTATCAGCTGTTGCACAGTGCGATAGTGCTTGATAGATTTTAGTTGTGTAGTTTTTCAACGCCTTGAGCTGGGCTTTCGCAAGCTCTAAAGGTAATGGATCATCCTGCTTATTGGTAGGCACCAAAGCTGGGTGCCTAAAGGGCGAGCGAGTATAATGCTTCCAGCCAGACGGGTGATGCTGCTGAATCCTACTTTGATACATTAAGTGCTCTCCATCCCAGCCCCACATAGGCCAGTTTATTTTCGCGATAGTAGCGGGTCCATCTGAGGGATGTTGTTTTTTTCTTGCTAATAGGCTGCTCGCTGTCTTGAGAGATTATTGAAGTGGATGAATTGGTCAATCCTTGAATTTTGCCTTCCGCCTGCATCTGCTTCCAGTCAGGTTGTGCACCAAAGAAGCATTTGCGATTTGATTGCAGGCAGTACAATTTAGAGCAGTAATTTATTTTCATGTTAATGATGCAAACTGAATGAACTAGACAAATGACACTTACACACATTTGAAAAGCAAATATTGTAACAGGATGTGAGTCTCTGTTGCGAAGCCTGCCGTGTACTGATCTAATTTTACCCGTACAAAAGGAATGAAATGCTGCTGATGGACTGAGCCCAGCATTCACCATGCATTTTTCGTGTCTGGGGGCACAGTTTGTTTCTGCACAAGTCAAGCGTTTAAAAACTGCTGCTCGCTTTTAATTACCTTTCCAATATTTCTGTAGACTTTCCATCAGCAGCCTGCTTTTTTTTTTTTTTTTTTTTTTTATATTTTTAATATTCTAAGGAAAACAAAAAGGCCAGTCTCCAATCAGTGGATTAAGCCTGTCCAGTGGGACGCTGTTTCTGCGGGTCATTTAACGCCGGGGAGATTAGTGAGACAATTACAGTCTGCCTCAATAGAAGAGTTGGCCACTCTTTGGAGATTTAGCACTCGTGGAGCGGTGATTAAGAAGATGCTCCCCAGCATCCAACGACTAATATAACCATGCCATTAGTCAAATCTGGTCCAAAGAGCACAAGCAGGGCTTCCACAGAATCTGTCCTCCACGCCAAGGACACTCCACTCCTTGGTTCTTAATTACAGGAAATCACAGACAAGGATACCAGGGAGCGTGTTTTTTATTTTTTATTTTTTTAGCCCAGTTGGTTTCGGAAGTGCTGTTGATGATACGTCCTTTTCGGCGCACAGATTGTAAAGGAAAACTTTTGCAAATTAGAGCGAGAGAATCCTGGGTCCTGGGGGACAAATTACCCCAGCTCGGAGATAGTTATGTTGTGTACCACCCACAGATGAATGTGAAGTCCCCCTCCCTGCTAGATGAATGACCTGTAATCACTCGTTCCAACAATGATACAAATCACCAAACAGCTTTTAATTAGCTCAGCTCAGCTGTTCTTCACTGGCTGTTGTCTTTCAATGATAAGACCGTTTTTAGATGTTTCGCCAAAGCTAGCTAGCTCTGCTAATAGGCAGTTTGGGGTATCAGAAGTGTACTTTAGGAAGTTCTTTATGGAGGACAACAAATGAGTTAAGTTCTTAATTTTGGGGCAAGAGGTTCTGTGGAGATGACCTCCAGTGTGGAACACTTGTGCAACTTCATGGCTACAGCTTTTGATATAGCATCTGGATTTGTTTTTATTATGGGCTCTATTCTTTCAAAGATCGTCTGATTTCATTTTGGTGAGACACATTGCTGAAGGCGTAAAGAATAGGAAATTAAAAAGTGGTGCTCCGACTGATCGGTTCCCTGATCGTAAAGCATTCATTTATAAAGCTAATAGTGCTAGCTAAATTAGGTGGCCGTTAGCATGGCAAAGTACACATCCAGACTTGGATACTTATTTCTTTAATTCGAAGGGGAAGGATCAAACATGCCACATGGTCCACCTTCTTTCTGTGTGCAGTCTGAGAGACGGACACGGCGTTGTATATACAGAAAAGGAGCATTGAAAGATGCACTCGTGCTGTGCGACCGGATGAAATGTTTACCAGCACACCCTGAAAAAAAATGGGAGCATTTGCAAGGATAAGGGTTGCAGTGTCGACCCCGGTGACAGCAGCCAATTTAGGTGTATATCCTGACTGACGGACAAAGTACACCCTGGAGCACTGATATTAGATGTGATCAAAGGCGGTAGGACACCTGGAAAAAAAAATAGCGGCTGCATGCTTGCTTATACTTTGAAGACAACACTCGGAATGAATATAGCTTTTTGTTAGCTCATGGGTAAGAGAGGGAGCAAATACTTAACGTCATGAGAAACCTCGGATGAGGGAGAAGTTCGTGCACACATTTAAACACACGGGTGGACGTGTGTTTAAATTTGCAATTCGTGCTGCTTGAGCCTTTCCTATGTTCTTGGCAATAGGCGTGATTCACACAGGAGTGGAATTAATTATGACTCCACCAGCCTATCTTAATTAAATCTTTTCACATCATAGATTTCTCACAACAGAGACAAAATATCTTCTGCATCTCAGAGGCGGCATGGTTTTCCTGGCTGAGAAGGTCTCACATTAACTCGGCAAATTTATGCTGTTTGTTGTCTGCCCAGATATCGAAATTCACAGAAGCGTTTTAAACGTTTGACGCCGGTGAAGGCCTTGACTCCACCAAAACAAAGTTCCATGCCCTTCGAAAGTACACAAAACTCTTGGTTGGAGTGCTCTGTTTTATTTCATGGCCCTATCGTATGCATCATGTTTAAGGTGTATTCTTTCGGATAGAAAAGAGCAACTCAGTTGCAAATTAATCAAATTTACATGTCAGTAAGGTGACATGTCACCACATGTACGCAAATATTTGGAATACTTTTTCTTCCCTTCTAAAGAGCCGCGTACGGATCAAATGATCTTTGATCTGAAGTGAAAAGAAACGGAGGGAGAAGAAAAAATGTTCGTTGTACTTTGAGTTCGAGATCAAATGAACCTGATGTGAAGTGGGCAGGGCTACATGTACTGAGACTTGGTTCGTTGTGACCTAAATTTGGTATACAGTCATACCTCGGTTTTCGACCATAATCCGTTCCAGAAGGCTGTTCGAAAACCGATTTGTTCGAAAACCGAAACCATGCTTTTTTTAAAAACAAAATCTTTATTGAACACGTCTGCTCAAAATGGAACGCTACACGAGGAAGCGTCACTTCCTCGTGTAAGGAAGGTGAGAGGAGTCAAGTGGCGCATTCAAGTGCGCTCAGTTTGGTCTAGAACCGATTTTCGGTCGTCATCCGAGGCATAAAAAACTCGAAATTTTTGGTCGAAAACCGATTTGGTTGAGAACAGAGACGTTCGAAAACTGAGGTTTGACTGTACTGTATTATAGAAACAATTCATGCCAACACCATATTGGAAATGTTTTTAATTTGCTCACATTCTTTATGCATCCACGTTCTTAAAGTGAAAAAAAAGGCTGGTCACAAACTTTATAAATTCTTTGCAAATATATGAAAGTAGGTATTTTTAAAGGTAGAATAAATGGTTCTATACGACACTGTATATAATGCAAAAAATTTGAAATAATATTGATTACAAATATCTCACAATCTTCATAGATCCTAGCTGGAACGTACAACCAGAAACACTTCGTTGAATATTAGATTAATAACAGAGTCGTAAAGGTGTGATAATTATTTATTTTTTCTACTGATCAAAGCTTTTTCTACTTATCAAATCAAGCACACCGTGGTGGTACGGAGTGAAAGTACCCTTTTCACCTTGACATATACTGCAGAGAATTAGCACGTGCTAATATGCTGATCTTTTCAATAATGTTGAGATCCTCCTTAATAATCATAATCAGTTCATTACATTCAAATGAGAGTTGTTCAGGCAGTGATGACTCCAATTAAATTGTTGGGTGGTGTTGACAGAAGTGGTGGAAAAAAAAAAAAACGAACACGCACGCACACTCACACACACTGAAACCTCACCAGAATGACATTGTTAATTTGGGTAAGATATGACAATTAGATTGAACGAAATGTCCTGCCATGTCACCATGTTGCTGAACAATGTCGTACTCTGATTTCCTGTTGTTAACTGAGTCCTCCATCACAGTCAATGTCTTCCATAATGAGGCTGTGTGAAGTTATTTAAGCGTTTAGAGCAGTGGGGAGGGGGGGAGTATTGGGGGGCGGGGGGCTGTTTACTCACACTTAGAAACACACAGACAGTCCTGCATGTTCTGCCCTTGCAAAGAAGTCAGAGCTCTGCCGTTCATTGCTCTCCGTTGATAGTTACAGTGGAACCCTCGTAAAGTGAATTCAGAGATTTGTTTACAAAAAGACTAATGTCATGCTCCATTAAATTTGAGGATAGTGTCTGAAAATACATACCAAGACTGAGATACTGTAGCAACTACTCAGTTGTGGAGATTAAGCATTGAATATTTTTGCATTTTAGTGATCCAGATTTTTTGTGGGGCGGGGGTGGCAAAAAACAGTGCCTTCCAAGTCAGGCATATTAGAACTTGCATGCTTTCATTGTCACAGCAGTTGTTGATATG